TTTCATAAAAGTTTGGTAAAATAATAAAAAATAAAAACTCTGTAAAGTCGTTACATTAATATACAGCTCCATAAAAAATAATAAAAGTGCAAATGACCATAATACATTATTTGTATTGTATTTTGAGCTGCTGAATTCGAATCCGATGTCAGAATTGACTCAGCAAATCACCAGAATTATCTAACATTAAAAAATACTTAAAAAACGCACAAAATCAACAATTCATCATTTAAAATCTAGGTATGATTTATCAGCGACTGAAACTAGTAGTTAGATCGTTATAGTCCCTTGTATCCTGACCCGCTGAACACGAATCTGAAGTCAGATTTAGCCCATAAAGTCACAAATTCTTAACCTAACCTAACCTTAAAAAAGCGTAAAAATCCACAACATTAATAAATAGCTTCTACGATCCAGTTTTGATTTAAAAGCGACTGAAAATCATGGTCTAACCTATGAATTTCCGTGTATTTTTACCCGCTGAATTCGAATCCGCCGTCACAATTGCCCCAGCAAACCACCAGAATATTCTAACATAAAAAATGGCTTAAAATCGTTAATGGTTGAATGATTTCCGGGCTGGTTGTCACGTCGTCGAACTCTTGACGTTTCGAGAGACAAATCGCTCTCTTCTTCAGAAGTTACTCTGAAACTGAAAGTTATCCTGAAACTTAGTTTCGGAATGCACGAAAAAATGTGAATATCAACGTGATTGCAACACAAATACCAAAGTTGTCAAAGTTTCGTATAATGTTGCTTAAAAATATGAATAATATGACATTTATATTGCAGTAATTTTTACGATGGGCTCATTGAGTAATGTTTAATTTATAACTTGTTTTTACATTTTCCGCAAGCACTTGACCCTCTAAATATGTGGTGTCAGGTAGATAGCTTTAATATTAACCCTAATAAATAATTTCTAATTCCTAAAATATTTGAGAAGGTCCAAGCTTTTTGCAGAGATTTTGTGACATCATACTGGACTGGCTTGACCCGGTGGCTATTCTCTCAAGTTAGTTATTTCTAGTGTAGTTGTTTTTTTCTTATTTGTTGAATATTTTAAGTTTTTTAAGTTAATATTGATATTTTTCCTCCTATAAAATAAAAAAATAATTAAAAATTTTTTATCATAAGCATCAGTTAAGAGTTATGCTCTGCCTAAACAAAAATCACTCTGAAAAATACGCATCGCTGTATCCGCTTCAATTGAATGCTCTCGAAGGATAAAACTCATTTTTTTCGAAAAATGATATTTCTGCAGATAAAGGTTAAAACATGTACTTTTTTGGTGCAAGTATGGAATCTGTGGGGTTAATAGAAACTGAACTATACAGGGATGGCCAAAAGTGCGGAATAAAATTCATATCTTTTGAATGAGTTCTGATTTTGATTTTTTCTCATCTTTCGGTTATATAATAATTAATTTTCCTTCAACCCCCTAACCCCCAGCTACCCTACTTTTTTTTTCGAATGGAAACATAAGGCATGAGGGGGCTCGTTGAAATGTTTATAGAGAAGCGAATCCAGCCATACCAAATAAACAAGTTTTATTTTTTCAATAACAAGTTTTTTTTCATATAGAAATTGAAACAACTAGATAATTTACAAAAATAAACTCAATGTCGCAAATGCTGAAAATGTCCTCCATTCACTACTTGGGATTCTCCAAGACGATAGTAAAAGCTGTCCACAGCATTCTGAATGACTTGAGCTGGTAAATTATGCATCTCCGCCCTAATCTTGTTCTTTAAATTCTCAATATTATCCGGTCTGTCCTGGTAGACTCTTTCTTTCAAATATCCCCAAAGGAAATAATCCAGGGGTGTTAAGTCGGGGGATCTTGGCGGCCATTCAACTGTACCCCGTCTACTAATCCAGCAATTTGGAAACATTTCATCTAAGTATCTTCGAACATCAATACCAAAATGTGGGGGAGCGCCATCTTGTTGGAACCAAATTCTTTCATTCGGTATATCTGGATCAATATCATGAGGGAAGATCACAGCTAGAGCAGCTATCAGATCAAATGTTAGGAAATCCAGGTAGCGAGCGGCAGTAAGATTTTCTTCAAAAAAGAATGGGCCCAAGATTCTGTTGTTGATGATACCTGCCCATACATTAACTTTTTGTGAATGCTGCGTATGCGATTCGCATGTCCAGTGTGGATTTTCCTGGGACCAAAAGCGATAGTTGTGCCTGTTAACCACTCCATTTAAATAAAACGTAGTTTCATCCGAAAAAAGTACGTCTCGTTGAAAACCATTATTGTCGTCACACCGTCTCATCATTTCCTCACAAAATTGTAATCGCCTATAATAATCGTCTTCCAAAAGCTCTTGGACAAGACATACCTTATAGGGGTGGTATTTCTCTTGTTTTATTCGAATTGCAGTTCGAGAAGCATCGTGATTGCGGGCCAATCAAATAGTTGAAGTATGTGGATTTTCAACAAGTTCTAATGCAATGTATAATTTCTTTTCTTCATTCAAAGCACGTGCCCGTCCAGTTTTGGGCAAAGTCTGTACTGTACCGTGTTCCTCAAATTTGTGAAATATTTTACTAACTGTTCCATTGCGAGATTTGGTTTTTGAGATATTTCGCATTAAATAAATCGCGCACTTCAGCCTGACTTCTTATTTTGTCTCCACATCCAAGCAATATCAAGATTTCGATGCGTTGCCTTTTCGACAATACCATTGCAATTCAGTAAATAACTTGATTTTGACACAATAGTAACGTTTCGAACTCCAATTTACAACTAAAGCGAAAAATTAACCAGAAAGCCTGGCAAGTAAGTGGTGCCAAAAAAACGCAACATAAAAATATATCTTTTTTTTTGCGTTAGCAGTGATAGGTGCAGTTTCAAATTCTTTATTTTATTCTCTGCAAATTCATGGAGGACAACACTGAAGATAATTAAATTTTATTTCACTTGTTAAGTAGGTGTTTTATACAGCCCTAAACACCTTGCTATTGAAAAAATAAAACTTGTTTATTTGGTATGGCTGGATTCGGTTTTCTATAAGCTTTTCAACGAGCCCCCTCATGCCTTATGTTTCCGTTTGAAAAAAAAAGTAGGGGTAGCTGGAGGTTAGGGGGTTGAAGAAAAATTAATTATTATATAACCGAAGATGGGAAAAAATCAAAATCAGTTAACGTTTTTCGGCGTTTTAAAAAATCAACTCATTCAAAAGATATGAATTTTATTCCGTACTTTTAGCCATCCCTGTGTAATAAATAAATAAATAACACATTTATCTACATATCTCTTTCATATATCTCTTTCTTACATAAATAGATCATAATAAATCGTAAATGATTTTTTGGCCATATCATCACTACCGATGCGAATATTTTATTCACTTTAACTTATATGCGAATGTTATTCTTAGCTAAATGACACAACAAAAAAATAATAACTTAAAAAAATTACACTGGTCGACATGATTTGGATAACACAAACATTTAGGAGTGGTTCTTGTAGGATTTCACTTCCTGAATTCGATTCTGCTTTCAGATTTTCTCCGTCACGTACGTTTTTTTTGTTACAGATATTTAAAGTTTTACGAAAATATAAAAAAATAATAATATGGAGACCAGAATTTTAAAACGTGTTTTATGTTGTTCTGAAACTGAAATGTGGTTGTCAACAGATTTTTCTTGCTGAAACCATTATAAATAATTCTTCCAAATTTTTCCACTGCATAAGGTTTTAACATAAATCGAAAAAAAAAAAATCTTATTTTATGAAAATGTGAGGAATTATTTAAGTACTTACATTCAAAGAAAATTTGTCATCATAGAAATATGTGCATAAACCTAATTAAAGTGTAATTTAATAGACAAGAGCCACCAATTTAATAAACAACAATTTAACTCTTCACGTCCGAACTTTATAATTTTTGGAGTTTTCATAGAAGGGGGTATACTTCACTTTACCAATAAGTGAACTAATTTGATGCACATCAAATTGGGACTCATGAAGAAATTTATGAAGGCCTTTTGACAAAATAGGTGATGCTTTTGAATACCTGAAAACTATGTTTTCCAGTTTGTGTGATACCAAAATAATAGAAGAAGGCATATTTGTAGGTTTTCAAATTAGAAAAGTTTTGAATGATGAACATTTAAATCAAAATTAAATCCCCTTGAACTGGCAGCCTGAATCATTTTTTATTTCTGTGGTGAAATCCCCTTGAACTGGCAGCCTACATCATTTTTTATTTCTGTGGTGAAAGGAGTTTTATGTAATCATGTAAACTTCTACGAAACTACAAAAATTTAGGGTGTCGCATGTGTCGCACTGAAAGTGAATTTTCTTCACTCACATTTGGATTTTTCCGGGAAAACTTTGATGCTGTAAATGATGAACATGGGGAGCGGTTTCATCAGGAAATCAGCACTATGGAGCAGTTTTTTTTTTTCATAACTAAATACATAATTATCCTTCTTATCACGTACTGACCTAAAAGATCCACCAAAAATGATAAAACTGAGTTACGTCTTTTTACGTATTCTTACACACGGTCGTATCTGGCAAAAGTAGCAACATTCAATTATGTCATGTGAGAAAAAAGACGTATGTGATACCTAGCCGCTGTGGTATGATGTCACGTCACAACATTGCTTCGTGAGTTTTCCTGCACTTCGTTTTCATTAATTATTTGAAGGGAGATAATATTGAAATAAAAAAAATATTTGCACACTAACTAACTAACATGTATACTTTTTTAACAGGAATTTAAAAAAATACAGTATGTATGTACATAAAATTTGTAGTTTTTCACATTTTCAAACAATATTAAATGAAAGTTTGTTACCACTTTAATTGAATTTATTCGTATCAATATTTTTTCCATGTGGAAGTTAATCAGTTTTACGGAATTTAATAAAAATCAAACAACATCCGTCGAATTTATATCTCTGACACTTTAATATTGGAATCAATAAGGATCACACTTTCTATAATGCTATCAATTTTTTTAAATATTTTTTAGGTAAACCTATATACCTCAACAAGAATCCAAAAGCGTATATAGCCGTGTCTGTCATAGCCCCAAAACCTTCCGGTGAGAACACCAAAGAAGAAGTAACTTTAGAGAATGAACTGCACCAGTTGAAGCCGTGGTGGACCCGCTCAGATAACTTCAAGAGAGCCGCTTCGTCCAGATCGAGATGGGTGATACGGAGCGGTGAAGACACCGCGAAGTCTGTAGAACCAAAGTTGTAGATAAAATATTTTGTATTAAAATGTTGTAACGGAGGATCATTGTTGATGTTTTAGTTGACGGTATGCATCCTTGTATACTGTTTGGATTAAAAATGGAAAGTAAAGAACAACGTATTTGTAATTTTTATAGCATTTTTGTATGAAAACTTACTGTATTTAAATAATATAGAATTATCTATCGCACATGCTTATAGATATTTAAAAAGAATGTTGAATCTTACTGAAAAATGTTGAAGTAAAAATTAACGGATGTTTTCCAATTTTCTAAATTATTTTTGTCATTAGAATAAGCTGCTCGCTTACCTTGAAATTTGAAAAGTATAGATACATTGCGAGCATACGCATTGCATAGTTGTATCATAATTTTTATGTAGTTATTCATGATTTACAAAAGCACAACTGTTTGCTTTTTCTACATTCGCTCAGGTGTAGATTCTCATAATTTAATGACTTTATTGTTAATAAATTTGACAGCCCACATGATATTAATGTTTTAATAGACCATTTTGATGTCATACAAGTTGTATTGACCAAATTTTAATACTGTATTCTACATAACAAGTCAACAAAGAAGTTTTATAATCGAGACACAGAGTATTAAAAATTCGTCACAATGATTAGATATATTTTTATTACAAAAAGAAACGGTTTAAACGTTTTCATTGAAATTTCTAGTACATCTTTAATTTTTACATACCCACAAACATATTTTCGTAAAAGAGCGTAACTCCAGAGGTGAACGAAATGATTTTTGCACCCAGTTATTTGCTTTCCACTATTATAAAAGAGTACTAAATGCTTTACAGAAATGTATTCTTCCTATACTGCTAGTTGTTTCTCGCAAAACTGTAAATTAAAAACATTACCTGGCAATATAGCAAGTCACTTCCTACTGTAGCCATTTGAATGGCACAGATGGAGCCATTTGCATTCCGCGTATCTTATTATAATTTGTTTGTACGGAAAAAGCAGCAGATTCACTACATGTTCTTAAAATTACTTTGTCACATTTTCCATAAACAACAAACAAATTGAAATAATCCTCATTATTATAATTTAAACGACACCCAGGCATTTTATTTAAATTTTCAGCAAATACTATTCAGACCCAACAATAATTTGACAACTAACTTGACAAATGTCATGTTATTTCAATTGTTTTTGGAGTGTTTCTGGTCATGGCTAATTTGATAACAGTTCTAATACGAGAAAAACTGTCCAAAAAATAGATAATTGCAATATATCTAAAAGTAGTAACGGCAACCCTAACAATGATTAAGTAAACAAATATAAGGTGTTCCATTTAAGTTAACAAAGTTATAGATGTTTGAAGTTATCAAAATGTAACAGCAAAAATGAAACACCTAGTAAGTGTTTTAACTTGTTGGTATACCATAATTTAGCGTTACTTATGCCTTTTACAAGTACCAAAAATCCACTTGACATGACACTCCTGAAAAGAGTTACTAGCATCTCCGCGGACCCTTGCATCTGTCAAACTTTTTCTTTAAAAATTAATATCTCAATATATATAACTCGTATGTATAGGGAATATTTAATAAAGTGACTCTCAAATTTCACGTAGAATACGAAAATGCAATAATATATACGGTGTCCCATTTCAAATAACGAAGTTGGTGGCGACCTGGAGAGTTCTAGATATTTTAGTTGTGTTCGCCCCAGGGACACTGCCATGTTGCCAAATTTACAAATTTTTCGGAGCAGTACTTTCCTAGATATCGATCGACGCAGTTCCTGGTGGGACACCCTGTATAGGTGGGGCAATAGACGTAGTTTTTTCACTAATAACTGCACATGTCTGTCACAGACTTTATCTTCATAATCTCATTGTCTGGTCACTCTTTTCACATACAAACCAAGAATTTTTTCAAATACCTACATGGTGTTCCATAGTGTGTGGAAAAAAATTATCACCAAACATGTTTCTCCATTTATCGAAAGATTATTTAAATTTATTTAAAAATTTCTTGTTTCATTTATTAAAACTGGTATTAAGAGCATAAAATAAATACAAAAAACTAAGTAAAAACTAAATAAAAAAATAAATATTCAATTCCGGTAGAGTAAATAGGCAAAACATCAAGTGGGTTCAAATCTGGAGAACGTGGCGACCATACGACAGGACATCTACATCTGTCCATACATCTGGATATTGTTAATTTTGCCATTGAGATTGAATCCCTGCTTAATTCTTTTTAGCTGATATTATTGCTCTAAGGTACTAAAAGTTAAAATACAATTACCTATTTAAAAAATATGTACCTTCGATAATGCTCTTGGTAGTTCTTGATTCGGTGATTTTTTTAGACTCCTAATATTATCTTTAATAAATTACTACCAAAATTTTGCTTTAAAAAGTTTAAGTATTAAAAATATTCAAATTATTTTCTGACATAAAAGTTATAGAATAGAAAAGAAATTTCTCAAACCTACAGCGTTAAATTATTTTTTAATTTTAAATTGTAATTCTACTCTATACGACCTAAAACTAAAACAATATATTTATTCGTATTTGAGCTATAATAAAAAATAATTGTATTTTTTACACTTCAAAATTCTCTAACTTTTAAACTGTTAATAATTAGACTGATTTATAAGGCAAACTTGCAACTTCCTCGTGCATGAACTATCGTTCTCTGATTTTAAATAGGTACCTACGCAATGAACCATCCTGAGGGAAATAAGTTTACTATAGTATATGTTCTTAAAATTTGTTAGGAGCATATAAGAAAGCGTATACTATCATAATATTAAACCCATTTTCTACATGAAAATGTTTTTGAGAAAAAAAAAAATAAAAAAATAGCAGCACTTCACCAAACGAGTAATGTTTTTATTTTTCTATTTGAATCAAAATAGTAATTAATCAATTTCTGTCCATTCGTCCTCTACTGATGAAGATCTTTTCTAGTTATGCTAAAGAAGCAAAAAATTGTTTGATATGATATATTTAACCATATTTGATTCAATCCTGTTGTCAATCTAAAATTTTTGTCTCCTTTCAATATCGATGGTGTTATTTCAGCCTAACTACATATATTTTTTTTATATTCAATATTTCCACAACGACAAAACACTGGCTAAAACCGACTGAAAATGCAAGTGTGTGCAGAGTCTTAGATAGGTATTGTGTAAGCATTTAATATTGTTTCATAAAATCCAAGATTTGATAGATATCAATATAGGTATTAAATAAAAATCTTGGACAACACATCATTACCTTTTTCGTGCAATTAGATTCCATTTTTAATCCAAATGTGTGGTCTATTACTAATGAGCACATCACTTTATTATTGTAAATTGCATTACCATCTAGTATGAATATATTACTATAGATATTTGGGTTATAATAAAAAATACAGGTATAAATGTTATACAACTATTTTAGAATAAATACAATTATACAATTCCTACAAAAAGATTGTCGCAAAATGATTTTATTTACCTAGGAATAACATATTCTGAATTTTAATGTTTCTGTAGTTGTAGTAATAAACTGAAATTATTTAGTAGCACAGAGTTTCAGTTGGTACGTAGCAAAATCAATCTGTGACCTTCGTGTAAGGAACGTGCCTATAAAATGCAGCTAATAACGATAATACATAACTAGGACTGTCAGAGAGAGCCGCAATTCAATGGCGTGCCAAACTGGTCAACTGAGACATGCGTGAGCTGCTGCCTCAGAATGCTCTTCACGTTCACATCACGTTAGTATACTATTCCCTTTGTTGTCGTGCAGATGTTGCATAATTAATTCCTATCTGTTGGTGTTTATGGTGGTGTATTGTAGACAATTCAATTTGCTGCTTTTTAATAAATATGTCCCGTGACTCAGTTCTGACAGTCTTATACATAACTCAAACGATCCACAGAAGTAACTGTTCTTATTAACCTGAGATATCAGTTAGTCTCACTTAATTAGCAAATCAGTATCTATTCAAAAGAGCTGATATTTTCTGCAAAGAGCAAACATCTACATCTAGTCCATGCCTGTTAATCTAATGGCGCGATTAATTAAATAAGTCTAATTTAATACCTACCCACTAAAAAATCTTATTTATTTATAATTATTTATTTGTGGCGTTTGGTGTGGCTATTTCAACAGCTTACCTCAAAAAAGATCAGTTAAATGGAATATTTATTTACATTTGACTTTAAGTCAATTTGAATTTTGAGAAAACAGGATTTTTCGATATAATGTACAGCAGCGATCTTGTGTAGTTGAAAAAAATTGTCTCCTCTCTCAGTGTAAGATATTTCTGGTTCAGCAAAACTAAAAATTAAATTAATCAACCCTATGACATCATTTTAAGCTGAAGGGGTAATTTATTAAAAAAATAAATAGCATGCAAGTTCTTTATTTTCCTTTTTAATAAGTGAAGCTACTTTCACATTTTTACTGTCAAACCCAAATATTTTTCTGATGTTCTGAAGTTTTTTAACATTTTTCAAGATTGGTAATATTGTTTGTAATTTAGTTGGAATTTTAAAAACCGTATTTATGTTCTCAACCATTTGTCACGACATAAATAAAAATATCACAAAAGAGTATTAGAAATATTTAAAAAATTACTCACACTATTTATACTATTTCAAAAACGCTTTTGAAATGAAAATTATCTAAAGTTGAGAGCATATGAGAACAATATGGTAATAAAATTATTATGTTACTCAAACATTTCTGAAAATATACTGAAACGTAAAACAAAAATATCGAGTGAATATGGATAATGGAACATAAAAAGAATGTTACTGAAACCAATTTTTTAAAACGTTTCATTGGAAACGTACTTTGGGGAGGACATCTTGGGTTTCTAGAACGTTACCAGAACGTTGCATGGATTTTTTATGAAACGTTTCGAGAAAAATGGAAACGTTTCTGAAACATGTCAGAAACTGAAAAATGTTTAGTGGGAAGTTGTACGCATCGGAACTTCCAAATATAAATATAGGATATTTCGAATATATCGCTGGACGGAGGCATACCTACAGCACAGAAGATATTGTTTTATCTTCTGTGCCTACAGCTTGTATACCAAGGGGTATGCCTGTAATTTCAGAATCTTTGCTTTTAGTGACGTTGGAACGCAACGAAGCTAGCGTAATGTATTTTAAGTTACTCCTACCATCATTACAAAAGAATGAACTGGAACATTTTCTTGGCGGGAATATCCTGCTGTTCCTACTGTTCTCTTTATATTGTGTTTATACCACTATTATGAGTCGTTTTATCACCGAAAAATGAAATGTAACGTATTACAGAAATATTCAGTAATTTCATGGTTATATTTAAATATAATTTTCTTCCAAATGACTGTATATTTATAGTTAACAATATAGCAACTTATTTTCCGGCACTGATCGTTTGCTTTCTACCATAGAACAAGTTTTCTGAAATCTAAATTCCATGGTCCGTGATTTGGATCGAATTCACGGCTGCAATCTATGTTCTTTGTAGACCGTTGTTCATCTGTCATTATCAAAACCATGGAGACTATCAAAACCATGGAGACTATCTCCCTGAAATAGAGATGAGAAATCCGGTTCATTTTGTTGACCCGGTTCACCGGTTCCGGTTCCTCATACGGAGCCGATTCAGTGAGCAGGCTCAATTGAACCGCATTTGTCATGATTACCCTTCCCTTCTTTTCTTTCTAGTACACTGCGACCCGATACATTAAACATATACATAAAATAGATTGTTTAATAGAATTATGTATTATTTTTATACAAATATATTAGAATCAATATTTTGTTGAATATTAACTAGCAATTTAGAAAGCACGTAAGGAAAAAAAATAAAATTTTGGAATAAATTTTCATGAAATAATTATTTTTTGGTGAATTTATTTTTTTGTATTTATTTGAATGAAAATTTGTTTTCACTACTTATTTATCATTTGAAAAAGTAGTGAATAATACAAATAATATACTCGATACCTGTACTGTATACTGTATGAATTGTGCGAGTGCGGGTGCACTACTCTTGATTTCGGTTCACAACTCGGGGCACCCTCCCCGATGACATAAAAAAACTTAATACGTGACAGACGACGTGCGAAACGGCTTGCCACCCGCACCCGCCTCCCCCGACACAGACATGACTTAAACGTACTTAACAGACGGGTGAAGGCGGCTCTGGATGAACTGGCCCAGGATAACTGGGCTAGGCACCTGGAGTCGCTGGATCCACAAGACAACAGCCTCTGGAAAACGCAGAGGGCCCTGCGACAGACCGCTCGCCGTAAAATTCCTCCAATCCACGGTAGTGTGGGGGTGGTTTACACGAACCAGGAAAAGGCCGAGGCTTTCGCCGATAGCCTGGAACTGCAGTGTAGACTGCCTCAGCTGCCCGACGAAGACGAGGAATTCGAGATAGTGGCTGAGCGCGCGGCCCGACGCGTCGACAGAGAGCCAGACAATGACATAATCCCCCCCGCAACACCTGACGAACTAAGACTGACAATACGCAGACTTAAAAACAGAAAAGCCCCCGGACCCGACAATATACATAACACGACACTTAAACGACTACCACACAAGGGCCTCATGGCCCTACTAAACATAACAAACGCGACACTCAGACTAAGACACTTCCCTACCCGCTGGAAAACAGCAAACATAATCCTTATCCCAAAACCCAACAAAGATCACACCATCCCATCCAACTACCGGCCCATTAGCCTGCTCCCGGCTATGAGCAAAGTGGTAGAAAAAATTATCCTAACCCGTCTAAGAACCCACTCCCAAGAACTGCAAGTCATTCCAGACGAGCAGTTCGCCTTCCGACCCAATCACTCCACTGAACTCCAAATCCTTCGCCTTACCGAGCACATCACGGCGGCCTTCAACAGGGGACAGTACACTGGTGCTGTCTTCCTGGACGTCGCAAAGGCCTTCGATACGGTTTGGCATGAAGGCCTACTGATGAAAATGCTCACCAACCAATATCCCATATCCTTTACCAAACTCATAAAATCCTACCTACACCACCGAAAATTCCGCATCCAAATCCAAGATTCCCTTTCCACCACCCGTCCCATGGAGGCCGGTGTCCCCCAGGGCACCGTCCTGTCCCCACACCTATACACCATTTACAACTCCGACATCCCACATCCCCCCAACACCAACATATACTTATACGCCGACGACCTGACAATCACATCCCAATCCGTAGATCCTAGATATTCCGTCTACCTCCTCCAAAGCTCCTTAGACCAACTTGAAACCTGGTGCAACAGGTGGAAAGTCAAAATTAATCCCAACAAAAGTTCGGCTATCCTTTTTACCAAACGAAAAATCCCACAAAACCTTGACAGACTGACACTATCCCAGGAACCCATCTCCTGGAATCGACAAACACGATACCTGGGCGTGACGATGGACCAGCGTCTCACGTGGAAACCGCACATCGTGGAGACGGTGGCGCGAGCGAAGACCACCAGGGCTAGGCTCTATCCCTTACTCAAAGGTGGAAACACCCTCAGTTTAAGGAATAAGCGAACGCTTATCAAGGTGGTACTTCAACCGCAGCTAACCTACGCCTCCACGGCGTGGGGTCACGCGGCAAAAAGCCACTTAAAGTCATTACAGGCTGTGGAAAACATAGCCCTCCGCACGGCCACCGACGCGCCCTGGTACGTAAGAAACACTGACATATTACGAGACTTACAATACACAAACGCTACACAGACAATAAGACAAAACGCGGAGAAACGGTTTGACGTAGCCGCTAGACATGACAATCCCCTCCTCAGGCAAGCCGTTGACTACGTACCCGACGTGACCGACAAACACAAAAGACCTAGACACCAACTTTTTGACCCTGGGTGACCACCCCAACGACATCCCCCCGCAAAGATCCGAGAGCTGGGACGGATCTTTGAGAAGGAACCGGTTCACTCGGCTCAGTACAAAGAGCCGGCTCAGTGAGCCGAATCAGTCATGTTCCGCCCATCTCTACCCTGATAAAAATGTCAAATATGTATGATTATGGAATATTTGACAGCGGACAGCGGACATTGACATTTTTACTAAACATTGTTAACCATTTCCATTTTCTAGTCTATCACAAGTTATAAATATTGAGTACATCTTAGAAAGTTAATAATTAAACTCAAAAGTAAAAGTAGGTTTGTCCTATCAATCGAGGGGCAGTTTTAACTGTTACAATTCTAAGTTTCAGATAAAATGCCAGCTGCGGTGCAAGACGCCAGCAAACCTGATCACTCTGAACAGATGTGGAAGGTATTAAAAGCACACATTTTACGTGAAAGAGCTCGTAAAAAGCAAGAAAGGGAGCAGGAAGTTGAGGAGGAACGTCTTCGTAAAGAAAGAGAAGCGAGAGAGCAACAAGATGTAATGACACTTGGTGAAACCCGTGAACAAATTACACAGCTTGAAGCCAAACTTACCCAGCTCAAAGAGGAAAAACATCAGTTATTCTTACAATTAAAAAAAGTGCTAAATGAGGATGATAATAGGCGTAGACAACTCGTGAAAGAAAATACGTATGTGCAAATGTTTTACCTTATGAATACTTATATATGAGTGTCAAATGATTGTGACTGTTTCATGTACATTTGTGTGTGTTTTTTAGTGAACAAATGATTGCTATTCAGCCATTACCCGCCAATTATGTGCATTCGCAGCTGCATGTACAACCACAACCGTTTAGATTAGCTCCAATGCCTCAGCAGCAACAACCGCAGCAACAACAAGCCACTTTTAAAACTACAACTAAGAGACCTAGGAGCCCCAGTCCACAGCCACAAGTACCAGTATCTTTATATCACGGCTATGGATATAAACCCCCTACAATTGGCACTACTTCTTATCAGGGTTCTCCACAAAGTAAGTTTTTCCATTGTAACTAGTATCTTTTGTTAATAAAAATGTTATTGATCTTTAGCATTCATTTTTTGTATAATAATTTATAACAACCTTAAAGTATAATTTCCAAATATAAAGATTTAAAAAATTTATGGTTTTTAGTATAAAATTTGGTACTATTTAAATCTTGCTTAAAATTAAAATTTTGGAATAATAATTGATTTAAAATATTGCAAATAGGTAATTGTATTACTATTTCTTATTAGAATCCCATGTATAGAATGTAAATGGTGCATTTAATTGTTAGGTTAGGTTTAATGTTTTCTTTATTTCCAGAGGATGATGGTAGACGTAATGAATTAGTTCGAGCAGTATTGTGGAACAGTGAGTGTTTTTTACACCACTATTTGCTTTCCGCTAAAATCATCTCAGATTTGGTTGGGTTTTACATAAATTTTCATTTCGCTTTGCTGCATAATACTTGCATGTTGCCAGAAAACATGGAAATTTATTCATTAAAATCATGATATTTATAATTATTGTGAATTAAAAATGTCCCAGAATTTAAGATAAGAATTATAATATGATACTTTATAAGAATAGGTAGGTACCTACTGATATACATTATTATATTTTTTTATGAGTATTTTAATCTCGATTTTAATAATAAAAATTTAGTAAGAGAATAGTCGTCACATAGAGTAAAAAGATCTATTTGGATATAAGTATATAAATTATAGTCAATAATAACGATTTGCTACTTAAATTAGAGTAAAGTAAAGAAAAAATAGTATTTACTTACTTAATCGTGTATTCTGATAATTGTCAATTACTCTTAACATCTGGCAGTCATGTAAAATATGTGCACACCACTTGTATAACATTTCTGCACCCATCCCCTGTTATTGTATTATTCATCTATGTATTAACAGCTTATTTTTAAGAATGGTGAAATTATGTACTAAGGGGAATATCGAGCTTCCTCGGTTGCTTCTCATTATGTCAAACGAAAATCAACTAAGTATATTTATCTTATCCTTTATATTATTTTTGTATGTAATACTTGTCCAGCACTGAAGAAAAAACTAAAGTGATAGTGATAGAAAATGATAATGGACTTTTAAAAAAGCAAAACATCATTATCTACTGTCTAACTGTAGTTACATTTTTCTCTGGTATCTTTAATTTGCCTTTTCCGAATCTATCACTATTTCAAATTTCCTTCATTTTGTCTTATAAAAATCGAGAGATTCCATAATTTTTGAAAAATCCGAATCTAAGTGTATTTAATTTATTATTATTAATGATATAATACCATGTCCAAAATAAATAACATACAGGGTGGGCTATTGCCAACAAAAGTTAAAGTGTATAAAAAACTATTTTAAATCTATTTTTAGTTATACTGATGGTGTTTGAAAGCTCGTTGGTCAAAAAGATGTTTTTATTTTAAATGAACATCCTATATGAGCGGCGGCTGGTGAAAGTTAATTCCATAATGACTACCTTCTACTAGCTTCTAGACAATGATTTTTAGAACTTTTGTGCTGAAAATATTTCAAACTAAATAATAAATTAGAGGTTGATCCTGAGTTCTCGAAACGGGTTACAATGTATTTATGAAATATTTGTTTTTATAATCAACTGATAGTTGCAAACAGTATTTTCTTATTTTTTCAGAGCTATTGTTCTTTGTCAAATTAATGGCCTACCCTGTACATAATGTCTATTTAATTGGTCTCAATTTATCACTATCATATTTTTTATAACATTTCTTAAAAAAAATAGCTCTATTTTTACTTTATTTTAAAGGTAATTCAAATCAATTCAAAAATTTTTCTAATAATTCTATTAAATGAAGTCAAGCATTATTCTTCAGTACCAAAAACTTAAGTATGCAAAAGATATCTAACCTCATGTGCCCCACACAAGGGAGTTTTTAAATATCTGTCAGATTGCATCCACCGATTTGATCTGTTAGTATAGATCACACTTGCCAAATATCATGTCTTTGAGGGGACAGGCAAGACCTGGAAGGTGAGATAGATTGTTGAGGAGTGATTAAAAGCTACAAGGGCTTTGTCGATAGTCTGTTGCTGTTGTATATAATATGTTAATAATTAAATTCAGAAGAAATAATTACTTGTGGGTATTTTGCCGAATATTTATACTAGGACTGTGAATTAATTTTGAGGTGTTTTTTTGTAAATTCAAGGCTTATTGTGAAAAATTGTGTAGATATTATTTTTCAAATTATCGTCCATCGCTACCCCACTATTTTTTCCCATCCTTGTGGCAGAATACTGATTCCGCGTCAAAAGAACAACACATCTTTTGATACTATACATCAATCGATCCAATTTTCGTAAGATTGGAAGCACTGCTTAGCCAGGCCGTATTCCATGGATCAAAACACGTAGTAATCTGATGGAGCAATATCTGGTGAATATGGCGAGTGGGGTAAACATCCTATTTCAACGTTCCTAGGTATTTTTTGACTTCATGAGCACTATGAGGTCGAGCGACATCTTGAAAAATTACTTTATCGTGCCTTTGCTCGAATTATGGCCATTTTTACTTCAATGCACGGCTCAAACATTTCAATTGTGTTCGGTAGCGTTCACCAGTCCAGTGATGGTTTTATTTGGTTGAAGGAGCTCTTGGTACACAACACCATGCTGGTCCCTCCAAATAAAAGAGCATGAGTTATGAACCATGAATATTGTTGATGCATGACCGGGAAAACCCCATGATTTTCTACGTTTAGAATTCTCATAGCGTATCTATTTGTCATCGCCAGTAACGATACAGTGCAAAAAAATCCTTTCTTTTTTGTCGTTGAAGTAATTATTCACTCGTGAAAAATCGCCGCTCATCATCTCTCAGCTTCAATTCGTATGGCATCTGATTTCCTTGGATTTGAATCATACTGAGTGCATTTAAATGTTTGCAAACTTATTACAATTTTAGGTCTAGCTATTGATTATATGGTAAGAATAAAATATACCTACCCATTTTATTTATTTTATTGTAAACTAAAAGGGTATTTCTTTTGATATGAATCTTAGTTGAGTAGTGCTTCCAATTTCTCATCATCGAACTTTTTAGGTTGACTAGGGCGTTCTTTGTCAAATGTATCGAAATCACCATTTCTAAAATGTCGAAACCAATACTCACCCGTTCTTATCGATGGAGAATGTTCACCTTAAGTTTGCAACAACTCTCGATAACTTTTATCAGCACTTTTCTTTGATTTAAACAGGGAAAGTAAATCTTCTCGCAAATGGTTGGCTTGTAGTTCGACATTTTCGGAGCTGTGAAAAAATGTGTTGTTTACACTTCAACAAATTGATACATATTAAAAAGCAAAGCCTAATGACAGAACTTTGACATGAATGTAGTTACAGAAGTGTCTGATGTGATATAGCATAAGTTATGCAATTTATTGTAAATCTCTCAAGATTAATTCACAATCCTTGTAAAAATTATAAAAATAAAGGAAACCTTGCAAAGTGGATGTAGAAGTGAACCCTGTAAAACGAAAAATTCTGGACATGTGCCTATAATCTAGTCTAAATTTAAAATTCAATAAAAGTTATATTCTGTAAAATCATTTAGTATTCTTTAGTCCAATGCATTGTTCATACAGAGAAATTTATTTTTAATTATATCTTTTGTATGTTTTATGAAGGAATATAATCTTCAATAATCTGATCTGCTATACATCAAAACCAAGAAAAATATCAATCGAGGGATCGATGACAGATTTAGTCTGTGACAAGACAGTTCTTTAAAATTCCATCATAGAACTCTATTATAGACAAATTTCATAACTGATCAGCAGGAGCAGGAAACAACTACTGTGGGCATGTAGCCCCAACTAGCATTATACTATACTATTTATAGTCGTTTGTGAAGTTAGATATCTATTATGTACATAATATGTAGATTTTTGGTATCTAGGAATATTATTTGAATTATTTAGCTTAATACCTTTAAAATAAAGTTGATTTCTTGTTTTTGTCCCATCAAATCATTTTAATCACATATCTGTTTCATATGTATCGTCTAATAAAATACACATCAACACAATCAGTGTTCCATCTGCCAGTAAAACATTTATAATTTCTTTTACTTTCAGAAACTCCACAGTACACCAGTCAGCCTAGTGCTTTTTATCCAGTGGCACCACAGGAACTATCTATGTACTACCCTACTAGAAATGTGTTTGAGAGTCCTAGACCACAAGCATTCCACCTAGAGCAAAAACTTCCTGAGCATTATACTCTTCGAACTCCTTCGTCACATGGTCATGTTATTCATCCTGGGTCCCTACCTATTAATCCACCACAGTCGCAACCCAAATGTAAGTAGTACGAGCGTCTGTAAGAAGAAATTATCAAAGTAAATGATTTTCTTGGTTTATCAAATTACAAACTGAAAGAAATTAAAAATTTAAATCAGTTTATTTGTGACATTTTTTAGTTCTTTTTTTATATAATTAGTATTTCTGCTGCACCAAAGAGAATTTTTCAAATAACATTCACAAACTCACAAATGATGAAAATAAACTTACCGTTAACCGTATGTCCTTGGTTCAGTGCCATAGTGTTAGAAGCAAGTCTTTTCTATGTGTTTGCGTAATTCCTTTACTGTATTCACTTAACTCTTGTTCAAACTTTTTATGTAACCCGACAGGTAAAAATGACTTCGATTACAATCGGGTGATCTTGGAGGCCATGATATTGATCCATTGTGATCTATCCACCTTTTAGGAAATTCATTATATAATTGTATTTATCTAAAATGACTTGGAGCACCATTGTGTTTTTAACCATATGGATTGTCTTTCATTTAAGCCCATAATATCCTCCAGTAATTGAGGCAAGAAAATAATAAAATACCAACCCAAACATTTCAAGAAAAGTTTTGTTGGACATTTAGTAAATGACGTAAGGATTTTCTGTTGTCCATATGTGTCTTCTGAAAATTGTTTATTCCATTGTGTGTAATCATCTCATCTCATCTCATCTGTTATTAGAACAATTTTGGTAAAATTAGGATCACAAGCATTTTGCTTTAAATGGTGTTCACGAAATTACTCTTTTAGGATGGTCTCTAGGTATTAAGTGTTGAACTTTTTATACATGATATGGAAAAAGTTAATTTTCATGTGTAGTAGACTACATTCTTATTAAAATGAGATGTTCAACTTTGCTAGTACTAGTTGTTGGACTTGCCCCAACTAGTATTGAGTTACACCATGGTAATAGTAAACAGCTAGTAATAAAAAATTAACCAAAACAAAAACTTGTCTAGTACACAATCACAATATGTCTATTTCAAATAATTGTAAATGTATTTTTGGGACATGTGTTGGAGCATTATATTTTGCTAAAGATCGTATAACATCATGTGTTGTCGCTAACGCTTGTAATTTGCAGAAGTTGCAAATATTCTATTAGCCTATTTTGAGTAAGCCGACATTTCATACTTACGTAAAATACGTCTGAAAATAAAGAAAAACAGAAAAAGTTAAATATGGACCAAAATAATTGACTGTTTAAAATTATTATATTTATAATAAATGTACCTAAATTGCATTTTCAATGATTCTGTGCATGTTTACCTATGTATTGCTCCGTTTTTTATGTAAAAAATAAATGTTTTGATTATCCGTGTTTTTCAATTATCTGTACTGCACTCGGTCTCGTATATCACGGATAATCACGTTCTCCTGTATATACTTATAACGTAATCGGTAGTAACTGCAATTGCTTACAGATTTGTACTATGCAATACTATGCATAAGTAAAAGGAGGAACCATAGCGATGTTTACTTTTATTGCTTCTAAATCTGTCATTTGTCCAAATCATCTGATATATACTGATTGGAGCAACACTAATGTACTTCGAGCATATTATTTATAACAGAGATGTAAGTCAGTGACTGAGTGACTGAGTTGCTGGAGTAAGTGAGTAAAATAAGTATAAAAGTGAGAAAATGAAATGAAAAGACGGAATCTTAAATGTTGCATGGCAAAGAATATCAGGACAGACTATGTTAATATTCTAGAGACTATAACAAAGAGAAATATAAGCTCGTAACTGATATTAAATCTACTCAACAAATCAGATTGCAGAGTGCTTTTGATAAGAAAGTATCAGATTTAGGAGAGATATTTCAGACATTTCTTGCCAACTTTTTCCACTAGTAAGTGATTAACATGTATTGGTTTCCAAATGATGAATATCTAGTCGAGGTTTGACATAAGACACTTGCTACATAGCAGTTCTATTTTAGGAACTTTAAGGTGCTGAAATTTAATAAAACAGAGACTTTTGTTGCCATCAGATATAATACAATTAATATGAGGAATAAAAGTTAAATTATAACTTAACCAAAGTCACTTGTGCATGAGGTGCACAGATTAAGAAGAGTACCTACAGAACAAGTGGCAAAGATGAAATCTTAATATTCAGGCATAGAATGAGCTCCTAGTGGACAAGAGGAATTTGGCCAAACTGTAAAATAAAAAATTTAATTTGGTGGAGCATGACACAAAATCAGAGTATTATCAATGATTTATTCGGTGGCAACTTGTTGATTTGCCATCACACTTATATTAAATAAAATATTTTTGGAATACAAAGACAATCTTCAACAAATGAATTAGAGCTAAACAATTCATAGTTTATGTATAAAAGAACCTTGGTTTTTAAGGTCATCATAAATAATAAGCCATATAAGCATAAGAAAGCTATTAAATAATAGCGAACCAAGAGCTGAACCCTTAGGTACACCAGAAGCAAAAATAAATTAATTCAATTCAATGTGAAATTGAAGACATACCAAAATTGGATAAATTATGACAAAAAATCCACAAAAATCTTATTTGTTAGCAGTAAAATCAGTAATATCAAGATTAGTTGAATTCATATTGACCAAGTGAAATTTGAGGTTTATCGTGAAAGTATAGAATATTATGTTCAAACAACTTTGAAATGGTGTATTTGCCACCTTTTCTGATATTAACAGAAAATGGAATAATGTTACAACAGACTTAGTATGTATTGTTGTATTTATGTATGAAAAAAAACGAATTTTAAATAAAAAATTTAAAATTTTTTCTATTTTTATGAAAAATAACTTTAAATAAACGATAGCTTCATTTATTTATTTAATAATAGTAAAATAATTCCGAAATTGAAATTTTAATTTAACAATAATTTTTGTGACATTTTTATATATTAAAAAATAAATAAGTAGATGCATTTTTTCTGGGGTTCAGGGTTATTCTACGAATTCGTAAATATGTCCATTGTTATTTTTTCGTGGAGCTATTGCAAAATTTTACAGCGTGCATCAATTTGAACTTTGGAATTCACTTTTCTCGCGCGCGCAACTCGCTTGGACGAGCTTCCCCCATCACTACGCCGCGGACATTTTATTTAGCAAGTACCTTCTCTTTAAAGGGCTCGTGAATCGTTAATTTTCCACATTTTTCAATGCAATTCAAGGGAAATCGTAGTTTACGTCGTAAACTTTATTTTGCGAAAAAATTCAAGGCTTAATGTTTATAAACAATTGTGCTACGATTTAAAAAAAAAATACTTATCTTGGCTCCTGTTAGTCGTAGAGGGTGCTTTAAAAAAAAATGTATTTTTTGCCAGCTATCCATTGAATCTATTTTTGGTGATGTAGCATAAATAGCGTGTACACTCGGCAGTCTTGTTCTACGGAAAAAATGTAAACAGCTATTATTGTGAAACGTTTAGTAAATTTCAAGATAATTGTTTTCCAGTTTTTAAATAAATACAATAAAATGTATCGATTTTGTAGTACGAAGATAGTGTTGTGCTTAAATTTTGGCCTCGAATTTTAGTAATTATGAATCTCTTAAAACAGGAACTTAACTTTTAATCAAATTACATATTTGAATAACATGTAATTAAAATACCAAACGCCGTCCAAATAATCATACGTATTAAAAATAATTTACTTACCACAAAGCAAAATTCAGTTATTTTTAAACGGACAAGTACAAAGCAAACTATAGCATATGCTCAAAATGTCAACCTTCTCTTTAAAGGGCTCGTGAGTCGTTAATTTTCCACATTTTTCAATGCAATTCACGGGAAATCTTAGTTTACGTCGTAAACTTTATTTTGCGAAAAATTCAAGTCTTAATGTTTATAAACAATTGCGCTACGATTTAAAAAAAAATTTTATCTTGGCTCCTGTTGGTCGTAGAGGGTACTTTTTTTATTTTAAAACTGTATTTTTTTGCCAGCTATCCATTGCATCTATTTTCGGTGAGATAGCATAAATAGCAACAATGTTATTCAAATTGTTTATAAGCGAAAAACGCACGGTTTTTTAATGCACAATTTGAGAATGTTAATGTCAAAAAAACGGTGATATTTTTTAATAGGTCGCTTAATTGCGTCTTTAAGATTACAATGACGCTTTCAGAATCATGTTTGATTGAAAATTAACGTCTGTACAGAGGCTTAAAGTTCATAACTTTTGGAGCCTCCGCTATAAACAAATAGAATTGTGCGAAAACTATTGCACCTACAGCGCCCACTTTTGGCACACTTTTAAAGTATGACAAAACCCTCAACTTGTCATAGGTTTTATAAAATTTTAACAATAAATGCGATAGTTATAAACAAATTAAAAAATGGGCACTTTTCTTGTTTTTTTGCAATAACTTTTTTGTTTATTAACCGATTTTAATTTAACAAGTCTCATTTTGTAGATAATTTTATTCCCTACAAGCTGTCTGTGAGTCACTTTTCGCTAAAATTGATGGTTTTCTCTGCAAAGTGAAAAAACTGTTTTCCTCACTTATTTGTTTAAACAGAAAAGTTAGCTAATAAAATTTGTTGACTCACGAGATGAGAGATGTCTTGTATTATGTTCCTCTAGACAATTTTACAATAATCTCGCGGATAGGACTTTTTCCGAGTAAAAATTTTATTTGCTTGACCTAATAGTACTATAATGTGTTTGTATTCCTAGGAGTATAAGTACTTATACTCCTAGGCATTAAATGACACTTAATATTATTGAGTAACGTCACATAAGTTGTCAGTTATATGGCATTTGAGGAGAAAAAGTTTTCTGTAATAACAACGTCCATAGCCTAGTATGTTACAAGTTGATGACAGTGGAATTTTAAATTAATATTTTAAAAATCAAATAAAAAGTTATATGTATAAGAAGTTTTTAATGAAATTGCTTATACGGTTCACATTAACTTTCATTGTAGAATAGTATTCAGTGACAAAACGCTACACATTGTTTTGATTGCAGGGTAATCTAATTGAAAATTTTGAGAAAAAAAGTTTATGAAATAAATTCCGTGTCTTTTGATACAAAGGATTATTTATTTTAAATGTATTTTTGGTGTATGTATTTCAAAACATAAATAGCAACATTTTCTTTGCAGCGGGCAGCATAACTGCTGGATACCCAGTGAGGAGCCAGACTCAGTACCAGCAGTCACCAGCACCAGCATCTTTGTACACAGCGCAAAGTCGACCCCTTTATCAGTCTTCAGGTGCTCCCATGAATTATCCCTCTAGAGAGTAAATATATAAATATTTTATAGGAAAAATAAATGTACTATACATAATGTCTTTTTCTCAGTTTACTTCTATATGTTTTTATATAAATCTTCATTTATAAACTGTGTAATGTGGGTGAAACATAAAATAAAAAAATATTTTCATTTAGAAAAATTTGTTTTTTATTTAAATAATAAGGATATTACAAAATTAATGTAAACATATTCAAAACCGAAATCAATATCAGGACCTAGGGGTTCTAATAGTGAATCTAAGATTCTTAGTTGAGGATATGAAAGTGCAATGTATGTTTAACTGGCAGCGACCCGGAATGAGAACCTGAAGAACCAACATACTTTACATAGGTACAATTTTTATTTATACTAAATAAGGTATGTATTTAAAAATTCTGCCATCGTGGTAAATATTATGGCTTTCGGTAATTGGATAAGAGGCCTCTATGAAGAGTTTACTTATGTAGTGTTGTAATAATAAATTATCATAAAATCTATAAATCACAACCACCACTAGTGTACCACCACTAGGTACAAAAATTATAGAAAAAATGAAATGCACCATCAATACGATACTAGAAATGACCATTTTAAGTATTATTAAAATCACCAATTATACTTTATAGGTTACTTCAATGGGGCTCAGTTCACAAACAAATGAAAACCATTTTTCAAATCCTTCACTGTCAATATCCTATCTAGGTGCATTTAATCCCATAGAAAATTCTTCTAAAAGTATTTTTCATCTGTTGAGATTGAAATCTTGCCAAATGTGGGAAACCGTATTGCCCCATTATTGAACACATGGCTTCATGTTGTGCTTCATGTTGTGGATTGAAATATGTAGGTTGTCGCTCTTCTGTCATGGCCCCACGTTGAGCGCCATAAGTGGATTTTGCTGCGTTTGATTAGCTCCTGGTGGTGGAGTTGACTTATTTTCATCTTCCTCAGCATCATGAGTAGTCCATTAAAATGTTACATTTTTTTGGGCTTAGCGTGCAAAAGTGTAAAGTGTACTTACTAGTACTGGAGAATAGTGTAAGTTTCGCATCGCTGTAAAATCCTAATAAATAAATAAAATTTGAAAAAAGTTTGTAATGGAAATTATTCCTTGAAACCCCTCTATCAAAATGCTCACATGTATTTTTTTGTAAACTGACCAGAAAAAAAGTTATAACGACCAAAACAAAATTTCTATGCCTTTCTTGTTTGCCCTATATAGGAAGTAGTAGTATAAAAACCATTCGCAGCCCTTTTTACAAGATGGCGGCCGACGCTCAAGGGTTGCGACCCCACAAACATGGATTTAACTTTACACTAACCCTCTCTTGACATCCAAAAAATAAAATTGCGTGCTCTGACTTTTGCAACCTCAATTGTAACTTTTCAATGGACTAGAGAGGGTTCAGACTTGTTGCATCGATCTGGGTCCATTTTCACCCTCGGTGCCAAAGACGTTATATACACTTGCCTTAGTAGAATTTGTACCACTTGAGAGAGTTTGTGTAACGGGTTTTTTAGTTCACCCAGTATTACACTGGCGGTACTGATATCCTAGCGCAGAGGCTGCTCTTGACTTCCATACCAGAGAAGACGGAAACAATTAGGTACAAAGTATTGAAAATACCAAATACAATTGGATTGTTTTATTTTAAGTACTATTAAAATGTAAGGAAAATGCGCTCAACATTATTTTTTATAGACCATTCCTCTTTTGTCCAAAATAAACTTTTCAATACTTTTTTATTAGTTTGTTATTTCTCGTACCACTAATTTTTTAATAGATATCATTGCAAGTACTGTTAGCCTCGAGGCTATCTATTTAAACTTTTACAATCTTTTAAAAAATACACAAGAAACAATACATAGGTAACAAAATTGTGTACAAATTACGTTTAAATTAAAAAAAAAGTTGTGAATAGCTCTCATTTGGTTACTGGCGGACTAAACCATGTCCACTGCTGTAAATACACTGCAGCTTTAGAAGCGAGCTATGAGGGGGAATTCAGTGTTTTTCAAATGAATTTTGCAAGTCAAGTTAAATTGAGTGCATAATGCATATTATAATTTTAGCGATTCCTTTTTGTGCTTTTATTTAATAGATAACATTGTAAACTAAATATTAAATTAAATTTTTTTGCTATGAAAATTTTAAAATTTTTAGGGAGGGCGACGCCACTGGCCTGGTGTCTGAAAATCACACTGTACACTGTTTAGAATCACTGTGGTGTGCGGTATCCGTGGAACACTGGTACGATAAGCTTTTAGAAGCTTGAAAAATGAGAGCGTTGTGCTCTTTTTGGGTAATTTTTTAGAGAAATTATAATTTGTAAATGCGGTTTCAGGCATGCTATTTCTGTTAATGCTTTAGTATGTATGCTAGTACAATACAGACAATTTAGCGGTTTCAATGCGAATTCTTTTTGATTGTCGAGTAGGTAATACACATTACACACACGCGAGGTATTGGCGTCTTAGTTAAACATGCAACTGCAAAAGCCAAGGTTGACGTTCAATCACCGTCGGAGTAGATCCTGCTTGATTGTATGGTCCGGTTTAGCATCAGCACTTTCTGGTCGGGAATAACTGCGTCCTTGGCTGGTACGGCCGTCTATCTGTGAAATTGCAGGTCTGAAACTTAACTATGTTAATATCCACCCTAAGGTCTTATGGGAGCGTAAATTTGAAGTCATCTGGATGTGAAATTTTTTAACATTTTTTCGAAAGTGTCGAATAATTTTCTACTCCTGGCTCCTGTCGGTGATCGCGGGGGTAGGAATGGCATATCTTGTCATCATCATTCGATGGAACGGAGAACTCTCGACGTTAATCCTCTCATCCGGGCAGCTCGGCGATGGAGATTTCGAAACATCGATGATTTTTCGAATTACGCGTAGCTCTTGCTCGGGTGCCTCTATAGATACATACATCAATGTGGATGGTTTCGGAGCAATCTGATGGCGATCACGCCGTCTGCGATTTGTTGTGAAATCTTCGAAAGATTGGCGAAATTTGCAATGGTTTGTGAATTCTTTTTTATGCGATCGAAGCTGTTCTCCGTGCTTGACATTCCTATTTTGTGGCGGGAATCAGACTATATAAAAGACGAAGAAGACTAACCGCTCTTATCGAGTTTTTACCCTTTGAAACTCCGGTGACAGAATTTTTTACAGCAAAGTGTTGTTCTGCGTTGTATTAGCAACGTCATGTTAATTGTTGGTTAGTGCATTTATCCACATGTATCCAAAAACTCGCGTACAAAAGTTGTTTATGAACCGATTTGAACCGGTTTTTTTTTTAAAGATAGATCTCCAAAAGCTCTATCTTGATGCAAAATTTGAAGACGAAATTTTGATTTTCAAGGCCTACTATGAATTTTTTTTAAGAGAAAAATAGCAAAATTTTGTTAGAGATTTTTTTATAGAAAAATCTTACTACACCACTGGATTTAGGAATCCCTTAAATGCATTTGTACCAATTTTTGCGAAAAAAAGTTTGACCCTAAAAAAGTTATGACAATATCGGCATCACCAGTGTTTGCCATTGTCGGTGAACATATTCTTTTATAAAAACCAAATAGAAGTAATAGAACCCAAAGGGAAACAAAATTAAATAACAAACACTGGTTTACTAATTATTAATAAGAATCATAAAAATCAATATATACAAAATAAACAACAATTACTCTAATATAAACAACAATTGATAAAACAAAAGTAATGATTAATAAATTATTACATTTTTAAAAATGAATAAAGGGGTCTATCAAATTGATTTACACAAATCACGTCATTAAATTTAAATTTTTGTAGCTTCCACTAATCCTCCGTTTAATTCTATACATTTTTCATAACGGTTTTTTTATATTTTTTACAACATTTCGTAATTGATGCGCGTTAATCTCCTCACACGCTTCCCTTATTCTAGTGCACAATACCTCCCGGTTATTTGGCCGTGTCATATAAACTTTGGACTTAATAAAGTCCCACAGAAAAAAATCAAGTGGGGTAAGGTCCGGAGATCGGGGTGGCCAATGAATTAATGGACTATTTCGACCTATCCAATGATTGGGGAAATTCTCGTTAAGCCACTCCCTGGCTTGTCTGGCATTGTGTATTGGACATCCATCCAACTGAAAATGTAGATTTACTCTTTCTTGTAATGGAAGATTATCGACTGCATTAAAAAATTAGTTCTGAAGGAAATGTAGAAGTTGTTCGCCATTCATATTCCCTTCAAAGAAGAACGGACCAATGACTCTCTTGTTAAGTATCTCATACCAAACGTTAACTTTCTGACTATATTGTCTTCTACAATTAATTATCCACTCTGGATTTTCTGAAACCCAACACCGCGAGTTCTGTCATGATACAATTCCATTTATCCTGAATGTGGCCTCATATCGCTAAATAAGATATATTTAAAAAAAAAATCAGTAATTGACATATTATCCCTGTGCCCAGAGACAAAACTCCATTCGTTTCTCATTATCACCTGGTTCCAGAGTGTGAAGAAACTTAGGTTTATAGGGTTTTATGTTATTTTTTTTAGGCAGCGTCGGATACTTTCTCTAGGTAAATTTAAATCTAAACTAGCAATCCTGAGGCTATTCTGAGAATTGTTTGTAAAATAATTTAAAATTTCCTGCTCTTGAATACGTCTTCTCTGTTGATTCCATAAAAGTATTGTTTATTTTAAAAACTGTGCTATGCGTAATATTAGGTCTATCTGGGTGTCTGTTAAAAATTATACACACCTCTCTTCACCAGAAAGGCATACTATTTCAATTTTCTCAGGTAAAGTTAAACTTTGAGCCATCGTAAAGAATTATAGAACTTATTTAACCATGCACAAAAAATATTACAATGTGCCACTGCTTGTGAAGTTTGACATTTGTTGTCTAAACTTCTTTTCAAGCAACGTTATTTTCTGGATATCTCGTAATATTTTTTTCAGAAAATTCTTCACAAAGAATTGGATTATGGTTGTAGAATCCAGTGGCTTTTTGAATAAAAAAAAATTTTATATGTAATTTTTTTTGTCTAAGAAGTAATTTGTAAGTTTTGGCATAATAACCACGAAATAATAATAATTTGACGAACTTGTTGTTTATTTTATGT